AACAATACAATATTTTGTCCCAAAATCAACAAATTATAGCTTCCCTTACCTCGGGGAGGAAGAACGTCGAATCTAGGCTGTCTGAGGAAGAAGGAGAAGAAGAAATGAAGATGCTTGGGGGAGAAAGACTCCAAAACTAGCTTTACTGCTTTCCTTGATTCTTAACAACTCCACCTTCCAAATCAAACACCAACACCTAGGTTTCAGCCAAGAAAAGGAATGAGAATAGAGTGATGAAAAGAAGAAAGGGGAAAAATGACAAAGAGAGGGTTTGTGGGTGCGGAGAGGTGCGAGTCTTACAACATTTACTTAATGTCATATTATAATCAATTTTATAAATTTAATAATCAATAAATATATATTTAATGGTGAAATTTAAATTACAAATTTTAAAAATTATAAATTGTGGAATTAAAAATTAAAATAAAATTATAGTTTAAATATTATAAAAATCAGAAAATACAATGTAGCCTATTAAATTAAGTATGTGCCCAATATTATCTCTATTTTTCAGAATATTAATAAATATCAAAGTCATCAACTTAATAATTTATGATTGCAGATATTTTTTTATTTTAAATTTAAAAGTTAAATAAATTTATGCATAAATATATAACTAAAAATAGTATACATTAAATCTTAAATTTATATTTTATTATTTTCGTGATTGTCTCGGAGTAAAAAAAAACTGTGGGATGAAATACGTAGCATTGTGGCTAAAGCAAGGCCATTGAAGTTATTGCCTTAGGCCCCCAATCTTAATTTTTTTTAATAAATAATTTTAATATAAATATAAGTAATATATTTTATTATATTATAATTAATTAATTAATATATAAGATCATATAATTATTTAAAATTCATATATACACACATAAATATTATAATAAGATTATTAATTTGTAAAATTTTATTATAATTTAAAAGTTATTTTACATTTGTTTTAAATTTTAATAAAAAAATGGTATTGAAATGAATATAAAGATTAATTTTTATAAAAATAGTATGACTTGTATATATAAAAAAATTAACGAAAATGATAGTGATAAGATTATAAAATCATATTAATTTGATTATTCTAATTTTTTATAGTTTTAATTATTTTGTATAAGTATTAAATTTATTTATTTTATTATATTCACGTTATATTATAAAAGATTTTAAAATATAAAATCACTTTAAAAAATTATTTAAATTTCAATAAATAAGATTTTTGAAAATAAAATAATATCTTAATTTTATATTAATGATCATGAATTTTTTTTTCTAATTTAAAAATGTTAAAAATGATTAATTAATAAAATAAATTACTGTTCCATTAGAAGTATTAAATATATTAAAAAAATTTAATTTATTAAATTTATGCAATCTATGTTTACAGAGTATACTGCTACATAGTGATTGAGATTGAATTAGTTATTATTACATATTAAATTTTTTAATTATTAATATTTAATTAAAAAAATAAAAAAAAGTTAATTAAATAAAAAAATATAAATAAAAAATTTGTCTTAACCCTACAATTTGTTAAACAAGACCTTAGAAATAAGTAAAGTTAACTCAATGAAATATGAGTAAAGAATGGTTTTTAAATAAGATAAATAAATTAAAGGTTATGCTCTTGGACGTTAATGTGACACATAATGATGTTACTGTAACAATTTTTTTTGTTCGCATGACATATGACGATGTCATCATTATAATGAAATTTGGTAACAGAAACTTAAAATATAAAGTTGTAAATTCACAAGAATGATTTTGTAAAGAAAAAAAAAGTGTGGAAAAGTTAATATTACAGAAATTCCCTGCTATTTATTTATTTTGTATTATTTCAGTCCCCTCACCTTCGCTTATCCAAATCAAATAACTACGTAGTATTTATTTATTTATTTGGTAATTAACTAATAGTATGTTTAAAAATAAAAATAGAAAGGAAATAGTATACAGTATGGAGTATATTATATATTATTTATTTGGATGAGGAGAGGTTGAACTAGTTAGAAACATGAAGACTTAGATTTAATTTTTGTTGTAACTATTTTTGTAATTTTTTCTATCTTTATAAAAATAAAAAGGTTTAAATATGTTTTTAATCTCTTATATTTAGGGTAAATTTGTTTTTGGTCTTTCAAATTTAAAATTGATGTTTTTAGTCCCCGTAATTTCAAAAAATATTATTTTAGTCCTTATATTCAAATTTTGTTAAGAAATTTATCAAATATTATTGCATAAAATCTATATATTGGTGTCTCTGTTAGTGAAAATATTACATTAAATCTAATTCTTATTTCATAACCATCTTAATTTGTTACTTTTAGATGTAATGACCCGCCATAACTGTCACACCATGCAACATACGACTAACTACGCATATACATATACTGAAACAATAATATAAAATATACACATCTCAATTCTGAAGAATATGTACAACTACATTGTTTGCCCAGCAACCATATACAACTATATATATATAAGTATCTACCAACAATTGGTAGTCTACAAAAATAAAATCCAACTCCCAGCACCGCCTATGACTCCACTGCTACTCTCCAGCCTATCTCTACCCTGCTCCTATACCACGTATGATCATCGTAATCCAAACCACATGGAAACATGCAAGGGTAAGCTAGGTAAAATAAACAACTCATATAATTAAGTATGCAACACATCAACACATAAAATCATTTTCTCATTCAACACTAGCAACAAACAACACATATACTACACATCTTAACATCACTTCAACAATACCACATGAATCGACATCGTATCAACACATCAACACATATGCATCGTCACACATTTCAACTCGAAGATCTCTTACAACACAGGGTGAGCAGTCTAAGTGGCTAGGTCCTACCAAATCGACAACACATAACCTTTTTGGCTTGCTAAGTAAACAACAAATTTGGATAACAATCCACAACACGATAATAGTTTTTTAGACTTTGCCACTTAAATAAGGAAGTATAGTACTTTGTCAAGATAGGATAGCTGGGTTTAGGCCTACCACGACATTAACTAGCTTAACTAACACTTATGGGGTTAGCCTACTGACTATCCTCCGAATACTACAACCCTCCAATACTAGGTTAGGAACTAAGTTTTCAACTTCGTACTTTACTCGAATTTGACCGCTTGTAATCGGTATAGCTCGACCTGACCCCTATACTATGGTCGCTTCATATACGTGTGCCTCAACCTTGCCCACACACGGGATCAAGTAAGTCCTAGTGAAGAACAACACAACATCCACTCCAAGGGACAACTTCCCAAGGAAGGTTTTTCAACAAATTTGGGCTCTTAAAGCACCACAACTATCTAAATCCACACAATGGGATGAACAACTTCAAAAACTTCTCCTCTAGTCCTAGTGATCAACAACTCATCATCACAACACAATCAACACAGGTTTCAACTCATCATCTCAATCAACTTTCAACTTGAACAACATAGTTAACTCATCAACACTGTTTAACAACACATTTTAACAACACAACAACTCATTCGATTCATACATATAACCTCTCTACACAACTACACAACTAAGATTCAACATGTAACTCTCTACTCGCAACTATGTCTTCTCATCATACTACAATATTCATCATTTATCAATCATAATACCAAACATATTCACGCCTGGCGCAAGTCAGTTTGCGCCCCGCTTGAACCCAACCCGAGAGCTCTAAGGCCCTCTCACGCCCAGCGTAGAATTATCAAGCCCGACGTCCTTGTAGGTAGAGACTCTCAGGAGTCTCCACGCCCGGTGCACCCATCCTGCACCCGGTGCCAAATCAGACAGAGACCTCTAAGGGTCTCCACGCCCAGCGCACTCACCCTACACCTGGCGCCACATTAGTAACACGAACTTCAAGACCACTATCTGATATCACGCTCGGCGTGACTCTCCCCACTCCCGGCGTGACCCATCCAGAGACACCCATTTCAAATCGCGCTCGGCGCGACTAACCTTGTGCCCGACGTGATTTGGCAATGATGGTCCTTGATGAATGCACGCCCGACGCAAATTCAATCAGCAGCCTCCAAAAACCCAAAAAACTGCATCAAAACCTGAAAATCAACAAATCCAGCCACATGCAATCCATGGGATGAAATACATAGGCTCCATATAACTCAAAAACAAACTCAGATTCAACATGCAACCACTCTATGCATCAAAGTCACCAAAAATCCCATTTTTCCCAAAACCCTGAAAAATGAGCAATTCATTCAGTTTACCCTTTGGTTATCAAAATTCGTGTATCAATTGAGTTCTTAAACTCACATGCAACCAAATAACCTACAATCTAGGTTCCCTTACCTGAAGATTAGCTTAGAACAACAAAAAAGAGGAAGAAGAAGAAGATTTTCCCCCGAAACTCAACCCTTGGACTTCAATCCTCCAAAACAAGCTTCCTAGCCTAAATTTTAAGAAAAGATAGAAGAAATCAGTGATTTAGAAAAGAAGAAGAATCAAACAAAGAAATTTGGGAGAGAAAGGAGCTCACGGACCCAGAGTCCTTCTCTCTAAAATCTCTGTCTAGGTTTCTTTGAGAATGAGCTTACAAGACTAAAGCCTTATATACTCTTCTCTCTATCATCCACTAAACCTTGAACCAACTTACTACGTTACATTAGATATGTTATTGATGATTTGAGGAACTAAAATAAGATTTTTAAAAATTACATGAACTAAAAATAACGATTTTAAATTTAAGTGACCAAAAATAAATTTATCTTAAATTAAAGAACTAAAAACATATTTTAACCAAAATAAAAGTATACGGTATATTATCCCGTGCGTATGTATATATGTACATATTTTGGTGGAGTCGTATATAAATCGGGAAGGTAGAGACGAGTGATGACGACACTTGGTGGGCCCAGGTACCAGCTGGAGTAGATAGAAAAACAGAAAAAAAAAATGAAAAAATTTGGCCTCTGATTACGATTTTACTCATACTATATAGTCTGACGATTATAAAATGCAACGCAAACTCCAAATTGCAATTGCACTTGCAAGCCAAGCTAATGGCTTAATAAACGTACCAAACTTGTTCTCCTGCGCCGTCTTCATCCCCATTTCTCCATTTATACATATTCAATATTCAAGAACCTCAACACAACATTAACAGGTTACTTTCTCTTCCCCTCTTTCTTTGTTTCTGCACTCTGCATGTCGTAAATCATGTGCCTTCCTCCTTCTTTCTTTCTTCGGAAGACAGGTTCAATTTTGCGGAAAACTCGGGACAGTACCAACTCATATGATGTTATTTTTTTGCTTCCTGAAGTCAAATTTCAATGTCTCTACCTCGTATTATCATTAGATTCGATTTTGTTCCGTTCTTTTCGTTTTTTTCTTCAAAGAAAATTGATTTAGATTTAGATGGAATGGAAATCTACATTTGAACTTTTTTTTTTATTAAAAAAAACGTGGTTTTGTTCTTTGATTGCTGAATGATCCAGTGTAGATCCTTCACTAGAATTTTCCTAGTTGTCAATTATTCATAGCAGATTGTTTTTGCACTCTCTATAAGCCCCTTTTGTTTCGTAGAGAAAAAAAATTTATGGTGAAAAGGAAATATGGAAAATAGAATAGTGATTGCTTTGGTGGGAGAAAAAATACAGAAGAAATATTAAAAAAAAGTGATTAGACTCATCAATTATTTTCACTTTATTTTTTTTATTTATCTATTTTTTTTAAATCTGTTTTATTATATTTCTCACGATTTAATTTTTTTTATTCACTTTGATTTTTTACTTATTTATTTCCTTCTATGATAATAAAAATTAATAGAAAAACAAACAAAAGAGATAAAAATAAAAATAACTACATGAGTATAAATAATAAAATATAGTAATTCAATTTTAAATTATTATATTGTCTTTTACAGATCATGATGTTTTTAGATGGTATAATTTTTTAATTTTTAAAAACTAAGAAAAGTTCTCCTCGTTATCTTTTCTGCTGTCCATGTCGAGGGGAAAGCTTTTTTACTTTGTTCACGATCTCACTTTCTAAAATTGTCTTTTCTTTACTCTTTTTTAATTTTCCCTTCTATTTTTATTGATTGACTCTTTTAGAGGTGTCTTAAACACTTAACTTTTATCCTAAATAAATAATGAGATTGTCAAAGTCAAACTTTCATTAACAATTCGTAAAAAATGGTTAGTGCAATTAGTTATCTTAAAATATATAATTCATTATACTAATAATTTTTTTTATAAATTTGTTTAATGTAATTTTAGTTGAGATAAGTTAGACAACCCTACAAATAATTGATATGAAAGGTGAGAAATTTTAGTAGAAGCGAATATTAAGTTGAAAATTTGAACTATATACTTTACTCCTCGTTAAGACAATAAAAGTTATATAATCTTCACCTAACGGCCTCGAGTATTGTAATCTTGTGCTTAGTGAAAAGGTGAACAAAAATAAAATATAGAGGCACGAGTAATGAATGAATGTGACTTTTCGATTATTCAGCGGCTCTAGCAAAGTTTCTGGTCTCACTTTTTTATTTATCAACGACGTGAATCATGTTAGTTTTATGAACTTTACGATAATTCAGTTACCTTGCTCAATTATATTTTTTTTTACACTGGTCTCACATTTTATTTTAAGATTTGTTATTTTTTTGAAAGTAAAATATAATTTTTTGGGGAACATGTTGTTTCCATAATTGATACCTTGACGTCCTCAGAAAGCCTGATAAGTGATACCCTTTTATTTGATCAGTACTCAATCTTTCTCTAGTTATCACTTACGTTATTTTATCCTCTTTAATTGTTCGTTAATTGTAGTTGTTCAACTTAGTTCATGCACCGATCTTGTAAGTAAAGAGTCATTTATTCAAGTTCTAGTCAGCTTTATGCAATTTATCCGTGACTGAATTGTTTGTTTACATTGTACGGTTGTGAATTTATATAATTAATTATGTTGTACCTTTCACCAATTGTAACCAAAAAAATACCTTTTACCAATTTTTTGCAGATAAGCATAATTGTGATTAAAACTGTGGTCCTTCACTGGAATGAATCCATTGTTTGTCAAGAAGTTTGAGAGTGAGTTTTGTGGTTCTATTTAATGGGCTGTTGCTGTTCAAGTTTAAAGAAAACAGAAGCACCAGGTTATGAGGAACCCACGGTTCTTGCATCTGCGACACCTTGTGAGTATCATGATCCATCACTGAATGGTAAATTCTTCTAGCTTTGCTGTTATAGTTTTGATTTGCCTTAGGCTAAGAAGCATCAAGGTCCTTTTAATAGCCCACGTTTCTTGTAATTCTGTTCCACCTAGTCTTTATATATACGCTATCGGGCATTACTTCCCCAGTTTCATGTAAATTAATAATGACTTAATGCGCGTGTAAGGTTTGGTAGTATTTTAATATACTTTACAGAATAAACGGAAATGCTAAAACTTCAATTTCAAATTCATTGGCGCAGTCCTTTCAGTCACACCTAATTACTGATAGTTGATTTTGGCAAATGATAATCTGACTAACATGCATGAAAAAACATGGCCTTGTTGCTCAATGCTCTAGAATTTGTCATTGTGGCATTAATCTGTTTCTTCTCCATGTAGACAGTTAACATACAATCCCTTGACATCAGTGCTTGCATTTGCCAAGGATGATTTCTTTACTCTATCATATATTTTCCACCAAACTTCAAGTTCTAGCAAATTCTGATTAGTTTAAGAAATGAAAAAAAAAAATTACTTGAAGAAAAATATTTACAATCACAGACTAGAATACAGCATTCAATTTCATTCTACACAAGTTAGGAACTAGAAATTTGTACTGTCGTAGTACGTGATTGATAGTGACCTCGTATGCTTTCTCTTTTCACAGCTGATAAAAAGAAGCTTTGTTTGTTTGTTTCTTTCTTCAGTTACCGTTAGTGAAGTGGAGGCCTTGCGTGAACTGTACAAGAAGTTGAGCAATTCAATTGTTGAAGATGGTCTTATTCACCGGGTGAGTTAGGCCTTTAAGTTTTCCAGTTTAGATGACATGTCCTTAAAGTTGGTATCTAACTAATCTCTTAGATATTTTACTTCTTGATCATCTTTACATCCAGGAAGAATTCCAGCTGGCACTGTTCAGGAATAAAAACAAGAGAAATCTGTTTGCAGATAGGGTTTGTAAATCTAATCCATGCTCTATAGTTTAAATTTCTATGACCCGAAAGTTCTTGGAGACTGTGCTATAGGTTAATGACTTGCAATATCCGAATTCAAGTTGCTCAGGATGTTAACTTTACAGTGGAATTTTTTCAACTGATGTATCATACAGTTCTACATTGACAGTCATATCACTTCTTTTCACTCTCATACTCGTACTGTTTCATTCTGATGCATACTCTCATTTGTTTCTCCATAGATTTTTGACGTATTTGATCTCAAGCGCAATGGAGTTATTGAGTTCGGGGAATTTGTCCGATCATTGGGTGTTTTTCACCCAAATGCAGCTTTAGAAGATAAGATTAATTGTAAGATTGACTCTTCCAACATAAAGATTTCAAATTAATATCTTATTTTCCCCCCTAGTTTTGAAGTTTCCGTTATTATGTAATCGCAATAAGAGCAGAAATGTCATTTAATTACATACAAATTTTGGTGTGTCCTATGTCTTATTTAACGGTCTCTCTTGGTTGAACTCACCAATACTTGTGATTTTCAATAGAGTATAGCTAGCATTTCTTTTGCAATAAATATGCACTGGTTATTTATGTTCGGTTGCCTTAAAGCTTTTCAGTCACCCTGCAGATACTTATATTTTGTTAAACTGGGAATAATGATTTTGCAGTTGCTTTTAGGTTGTATGATCTAAGGCAGACAGGGTTTATTGAACGAGAGGAGGTATGGTTTTTCTTTTATTTCCTTGATGAAATCACAACGTGAATTTTTTGGTTATTTTAGTCTTATCCATAATTCATATATATGTGTGCTCGTTCAATATACATTTGCTTAGTATAATGGTTTATCTGCAGTTGAAAGAGATGGTATCGGCACTTCTGCACGAGTCGGATCTCGAGCTTTCAGATGATATGATCGAAACCATTGTGGATAAGGTTCATAAACCATAATGTTTTACCATATTTTTATTACTTTCAAGTTTCAAGAGCTCCTTGAACTTGGCGTTCCTTAAGTTGTATACATTTTCAATTTATCCACAGACTTTTAGTGATGCTGATACAAATGGTGATGGAAGGATCGATCAAGATGAGTGGAAAGCATTTGTGTCCAAACATCCATCCTTGATAAAGAACATGACTCTGCCATATCTGAAGTCAGTATTTACTCTCCATCAACCCTTTTTTTAGTAATCTCATAAAACTTTTCTTCTGATGCATGTCTCCACCCCGTGTTGCAGGGATATTACCTTGGCATTTCCCAGTTTTGTTGTAAGTACAGAAATTGAAGAGTCAGAGATGTGACTTTAGGAGGTTTGGTTCTGCAAAAGCTCAGCCACCAAGTGCTATTCTCTCTAGTAGCTAAATAGTGATATTCTCTTGAATTGTTAATTCCAATGCTAGGTTCGCTTGTACATTATTATGTATATACGAGGGATGTAAGTAGGGTATCTTCTTGTGAGTTTGGAGGTATCAGAATTTTGCTATGGTTGTTTTTAATAACCACCGTAAAACATGATCACTATATGTCTGGCCATCTTTCCCCTCTCCACTGTGCTTATGGTGGAAGATTATTTTCAATGTTTTCTCTTTGCATACAAAGTTTTTAATTCAAAAAATTTTGTTTGAGTCAACAGAAATGCTATGTACTTCCTTTGAATATTTAACTTAATTCAATTATATATCGATACTATTAAATTATTTTAATTGATCTACGTATTCATGAAACATTCTGTTTAAACTGATTCCCCTCAGTTTTTTCATGCTAATGTCTGTCCTAAATCTAGTTGATTTGAGCAAGTAATTTGAAAGATTAAAAATAAATTTATCTTATATTTATATTTAAAGGATTTAAAAATATATTTAATTCCTTCTAATTGATCGCATAACCATCCAACTTTTAACCTTGAGGATCAAATTTGTTAGTTAGTCATGCTGCTCCCAAATATGGTGGCATCAAATATGATTCACGTCCTTTGTTTGTTTGTTTGGTTTCTTCCTTTTTTTTTTGTGATCAACAAATGAGAGCTAGACGAACGAAGAGAGACTGAAGGTAGAGAAGTATATAACTTACAAAGTAGCCTTAAAACTTAGAATTGAGGAGAAAAAGTGGTGCATTTTCTAATTAAAAGAATTAAAATAAAAAATAATTGAAAAGCATATTTTATTTTTTAAACATAATTTATATATTATAAATAATTATTTATCATAAATTTAAAATATAATACAATTTATATATTAAAAATATTTATTTATATAAAATAAATATTTTATTGCCCTACATTTCACGTACTAAAATATTAATATTATTCAAAGAAGAAAAAAAAGTGATAAAGAAGGAGTAAATAAATCATGATTTCTGACGTTAAAAAATGAATTTTTATTGGTTGTCTTCGTTTGCTGTGCTTGTCTTTTCTATTTTAGTTATACTTTAATTTAAAAATATAATTTTTATAGTCAGCTAGATGATTGCACCCAAAACACATTGATTCATGTGAAAGGTAGGACTCAATCTTTTGTGCAGAGTCACTGTCCAACACCACGTCACAAACTCACCTGCTAAGGTAAGCTTTGTCATTTTTTTTTTGGTGTTGTGGAAAAAAATAAAGTACACAAAATAAGAAAGAAATGAAATTAGTGTAGAGAACAGCGATCCTTTTCGTACACTTCAAACATAAAATTTGGAGGATTCTTCCATGTTACATGTTGAGTCCTTAGTCTAGTTCTCCAACTTGTAAGAACATAAACTACTTGATTAATCTCTCTCGGGATTCCAATAAATACAACTCGCCAATCTTTCTTTACCAAATCTTTGATATTATTGATTATATCTCTATGTTTATGAACAAGATTCCTCTCCCAAATAGCGCGTTCAATCGCAGATATCGCATCAATACAATATGTCTCGCATACCACTTGTTTGTAACCAAAATTCCAGCAAAAAGATAACCCTTCCTTTATAGCCAAAAGTTCAGCTCGTAAAGGATCACCCCCTATTTCTGAACTGGCAAAACCACCCAGCCATCTCCCTAAGCTATCTCGAATAACCCCTCCAAACCCTACCCTATTCTGACCCTCCAACCAGCTACCATCAATATTTACTTTAATCCCTGGATAATCCGGTAGGGACCAGCATGTGTTTTCCAACCATGTTTTCTTAGAATTAAGCCACAAATTCAATTCAGCAAGGGAAACATGCACTTTCTTTAGCACCGAAGGCATTGACCAACGCGGACCTTGAAAAACCCCATTGTTTCTATACCTCCATATCCACCAACGGGTCATGGCCACCTTGACAGCCTCAGAATGCATAATGATGTCTTTGACCCATACAACGCTCTCGGAGCTGGTGAATAGATGAGGTGGAGTATTTTCTAACCGAAACCAGATTTCACGGGAATGTGGACAATCTCGAAGTGCATGAAGGATTGTCTCTTGCCCACCTGAACAACGAGCACAAAGGTCAGTCTCCCCCAGCCATTTGTCATTTGTCTTGCCGAATATTAAAAAACATTTTAATTTTATAAAATTAATTTTAAGATTCAGTAATTTATGAATATAAATTTTTATTTTGAAATAAAATTATCAAAAATAAAAATTAATATAATACACTACAATTATATCTTCATGTTTAATTAGCGCATTTTTAAACATACTACATATTATAAAATCACGTTTGATGTTTTAAAATAAAACGAAATTTAACTACAGTACAATAAAATTATTTAGTGTTATTTTTTTAATTAAAATTAAATTTTATGTCGATAATTCATACAACAAAGTTTATTAAAAACAAATTATTAAAAAATTAATTTAATTGATATTAATATCCACAAACACATGGATTAGGGATGACAATAATAGGGGTAAACACCAATTCAAAATAAATAAATAAAATTGAAAGGAGAAAATATAAATGGGTAGATTTGAACAGATTATCGATTTAGGTGAGTTAAAAATATAATTTAAAATAATTAATTTTGATTGAGTTCGATTTGAGTTTTTAGATCTACTTGTACTTGAATCCAATTATCCAAACAAAATAAAGATCAAAGTAATTATCATTTAAATTCAAAAGTTAAGTTTATTTTGGCTCATCTTTAATCTTTATTGTTGATGCACAAAAAATTCTATGATGATGTAACTTGTAATTTCCTTTTTTATATCATATTTCTAAAAAAATTATTATAATATTTAAATTACTTGAAACTTGAATAGTTTTATTCATTTTGATTCTAAATGAACTAAATAATATTTAAATGGTTGAATATATAAAAAAGGATACAATAATTAAAAAGAAAGAAATAATAAATTGGATAAAAGCTTTATTTGGGCCAATTAAATGATTCAAATTTTAATACATCTTTATTTGTAGAAAATCGTTTGATAAAATCGAGACCCTCTAAAATCAAAGTCCGTCTAAATCGATAAGTCATTTGGTCAAATTCAGTTTTAAATAACACAAAACTATGGATTATATTGATTTGGGCTATATCAACCCGAAACTGACCATATCGGACCAGTGATCACCCCTAGGCAATAGGTTTCCTAGAGTGAGTGATAAGATCTGGCCACTACCTAACTCTATATCTCTATATTCATTTAATTATTTATTAAGCGGTTTTTTTTTTTTTAATTTTAAAAGTATTTTGAGTATTTATAGATATTTGTAATATTTTTAAAGGAATAAAAATTAAAAAAATAATATTAAAATTTTTAACTTATATTTGATGTTAATTTTTTTTATATAAAATATTAAAGGTAAACAATTGACGTTAATTTTTAAACTTATATTTAACATGAATTTTGTTGAGTTATTAAAATAAAAAAAAACACAAGATAAGTAATAACTTAAAATATATTAATCCCATAAGTTCAAATGAAAGTCTCAACTCAGAAAACTAAAGTAATAGGAAAAAATATGATAGTTTAAGTAATTTAGGGTTATTTATAATCTTTTTGATAACTATAATATTGATATGAAATATCTATTATTAGAAACAATGACTAATTTTTGTTAAGAAATACAAGTTGTTTCTAAACCAGAACAACCCATTCCCAACTCCAAAAAAGGCCTAAAATCCTAATTTGGAATGGTCATTCCACGTTTCTAGGTGCCTATAAAAGCGTGCTCGAGGCATGTGCTTCCACAGACGCGATTGAGTCGACCTAGTCCTAACAGAAACTTTCTCCTCCCTCTCTGTATTTTCTTGAGTTTTTTGAGGCCTTTGTAAAGTGAAAGACTGCCAAAATGTGCCTTTATATCAAGATTTGAAGTCTTTTTTTTTTTTTTTTTTTTTATAAAAGCTTGCTTTAGAGGTATTTTCATCAGAATCCCCCCCCTCTCTCTCTACTTATTTATAGAATTGTTTTATTCATAATATTAGTATCATCATGTAGACATCAAGTATGTAAATAGCTAATAAAAAAGGTAAATATTTAATTATTTCTCATTATTATGCTAAATTCGTCATAGGGTACCGGTTTAGGGCCTTGTGGGTGCCTAAAACCTTCCTCACACGTATTCGACTCCCGAACCTAATTCTAGCTATAAATGCCACAATTAATTTTCAAAAACCTTTTCCTCTTTCTGATGTTTTGAGTAAAACATTGGTGACAACTCTTTAGAACCTTTTTTTATAAAAAAAACATCGGTGAAGGATTAGTCTGGTCTGGTCCTTAGGCATTCCTAAATCGATAAGATTTTCAAAATGAAGTCCAAACCATTTGTGGACAAGATTAGAATTTTTCGGGTTCTGATAGATGACGACTCCACTAAGGACACTTAAAAAGAGTTAGACCCATTAAATGACGAATTTAGCAAAATAAAAAGAATAATTCAAATATTTACCCTTTTTATCTTGTTTGTAAATATTTATCTTGTTTATATTTATCTGATTGTTTATCTTATTTGTAAATATTTATCTGTTTGTTTATCTTGTTTGTAAAAATTTATTTGTTTGTTTTAGTGTGGCTTTAATATTTGTTTACCTGTTTAAATTTATGTACTTTGTTTGAAATTAAAAAAATGTACACAAACCATTGTACACAACAATTCTCCCTACACCCGGGGGCAACAATGAGATAACCATAGGGAACGATTGACGTACAATCAACTCAAGTGATGACTTTGAGCTTGTAGGTCTCTGTCAGAAATCACTCTCACTGTGATAACCTGTTACTCTAACATAATATTATGACGAACCCTAGAGTTTGTTAGGTGACAATGACAAAGATATTAGGTCCCTATAATGAGGGCACCTTGGGGGCCTTTTAAAGACGGGTGAGAACAGTTAAAACTACCCAATATTATGCACCTTTCTTTGTAGGGACCTCAACCTATGGATTTGAATGTGATTGTTCGTGGGTGTTCATTGATTGAGCTTATGTCTGTGCATTTGTATGTGTATATTGTTTGTTTGTTTGTTTTAAAATAGTTTCCCTAAGGTAAAGAAAACACTAAAAAAAATGCATTATCATGAGAGAAAACCTAGTGTGGGAAAACAAAATCTGCGAGAAACATGCATTCCTTCATTAAAAAACAAGCCATCATGCATTTTTTTTATAAAAGAAATCATTTAGAATCACCAGAAGATCTCTAACAAAGACTAACAAACCCTAATCAATATGACATTTGTCATATCGTAAGACATTAAGAAAAGGAATATTTACAACAAAGGTAATG